GATGAAATTTATCTGAAATTGAAATTCAAACGAAAAGTTGAAATTCAAATGAAATTTATCTGAAATTTGAAATTCAGATGAAATTTATATGAAATTTGAAAAAAAAAAATTATCTGAAATATGAAACCGAAAATCTTATCTGAAAATCTTATCCGAATATTTTATCAAAAAATCTCATCCGAAAATATTGTCCAAATTAATTGTTTAGGTAAACAAATTGTGAAAAAAACAAAAAAATTGAATAGTACCCCCCCTCTTGTCATGGCAACTGCTGGAAGTGCAATTTACTTTTTGCAAGGGCAGACACTATTCCCATGAATAGTGTCAGCCCTAACCCTCCCCTTGCCATGGCAACATTCTCACTGCTGGAAGTGCTCTTAGTGGCAGAGAATTATGAGGCTTTTATCGATGGTTGAAGAGGAATGAGACCATATGGATGGTTTAAATTTCTCAGCTTGTAATGAATTATATTATACAAAGTTAATTTGCAGGGCCTTCTATCGATGTGCATGCATATGATCTTTTCGGATGAATTCACATCAGCCATTCGTTATGACATTTGGTGCAATGTAATTCACTAATTGAACACTCATTCCCCAATTTAACACTCAAGTTTTGTGAAATACTGAGAGAGAAAATTAAAAAAGAGGGTGATTGGAATGTAAAACCCCACCAATGACTAGTCAAACCTTTAAAATTGCAGTTAATTAAAAAAATGTCCTACAAAATCCAAACAAAAGCTTGGCAAGTTGGCATGTACAAGAGTTTTGGGTCTTCATTGCAAGATTGTGCCTAAAGTTGTTATCAGCCATTAGATTCAAATAAGGAAGCATTTAGAAAGCTATTTCTATCTCTCCTTTATTGATCCAACGATTAATAACAGCCTCTCGCAATTGAGAATAATTTCTAGAAGGAATTCAATATCTATTTCACAATTCTCAATAGAGATACATCCAAGAAATTTCTAGGTGATCAAAAGTTTTAATGTCCCCACAAACGACTAGTCACGCCTACAATTTATGCACCCTTTTGAACCAAAAGAATAAATAAAAAGAAGTAAAATGGGGAGGTTGCTTTGGTCCCATTTATCTATCTCTCTCATGTCTCATGATCATGAGCTAAACAAAACTAATAAAACAATTAATGATAAAAGAGGGATTAAACCCATTTCATAAAAGTAAGGAACTTGTAACTCACATGATTAAGAGTATCTATTTTGCATTATAAATTTTATGTTTAACTTCCTTTACGGCTTTTATAAAATTAAAAAAAAATAGAAAATAACGATTTTATAGAAGCTTTAGAAGGGTGATACCACAACTTTAATTGCATTTATATGTCGGCCAATTAAGAAGTTAAATTTGAAATCTGAAATGTCAAGCTTCTAGAGACTAGTTAGCAACCTCAGTGTTACAAGCACATGCCTAATACGTGTCACTAGGCTGATTGGTGGCCTTGGAGGCTTCTTGCCCAAGGCTCAATCCACTTGGATGTATGCCCCCAGTGCTTTCTCATTTACAGAAATTCCCCTCATCTTCAAATTGAAATCCCATTTTCTTCTATAAAGAGACTTTTTAGGCCTCCGGTCCTCCACTTATACACCAAACTCAGAAGAGTCAGGGTGGCAAAAAGGCAGCAGAAAAATGGTGGCCAAGCTGCAGAACACAGGTGAGGGAGTGAAGGTGATCGCAGACAAGCCCAAGGCAGAGGCTAATTATTGGTTCAAACCCAAGAAGGGGAGTGTTTTCCCCGCAAAGAGAAAGTTGGTGAAGACAATGGTTTTTGATTCCATAGTGAAATGGGTTGCCTCTGTTTTCTACTCTGCCCTTCCTCCACCTCCTCCCTCTGGAGCCCCAGCCAACCAACCCAACATCAACAAAGTACCAAATTCCAAGAAATGCAAGCAGATAGTACCCTGGTAACTTGGAAATGTTGAAGAATATAGTTCCGCATCGGAATTTTACATCATTAACGGTGACAAATTGATGGAAGAACATGTACAGGCTGTTTGTTTTCTCTTCTGGTTTTTTTTTTTTTTTTCTTTTCATTTGGAATTGGCTTGAACAGGACTGAGAATCCATCAATTTATGTACACCAGCTTTTAGTTTTAATGAATTTCTCTTGCTTTTTTGAGTTTCCCAGTTTCTGGTGGTAACTAATTTTCCGAGTTTGGAGCTTTTAACAGTTACTTTAGATTTCCCAAATGATCATGTCATGAGGCCCCCACTTAGATTTTTAATGTTTGTTTTGGAAGAGGAATGAGACCCATGATATGCATGCCCAGCCCATAGCTGATCATAGGCTCATAGCCGAAAAGGCTAAGACCCCACAAACCCAATATTCAAAGATTAGAAACACTGGAGAATGATGAATCAGTGTCAGATTCTTCATTCCTTTTTTCCCCCCTTCTAGCTGACAATTAATGAGCATGAATCAAAAAGAAAAATTAAAGCTTGTGCTGGACCTAGATGTTCAAAGCAAACGACACAACATGACAACTTCGATTCGATTTAATTTAGGGAGTTTCACTAAAACATCCAAAATAGGGGTTGAAATTATAAAAAAACTCAAGCATTATTTAAACATATAAACACACCCAAAACCCATCATTACACACACTCAAAACCCATTTATAAACACACCCAAAAAGTTGACTTTGGAGTTGATTTTGGGTGTGTTTCTATGTTTAAATAGTACTTGAGTTTTTTTATAAATACATGTTTAGGATTGGGTTTATTTATAAATTTGTATTTAATTTATCATCTTAATAATTACAAATGAAAACTATTTTAGCAGCACTAATTGTATGATATTATTAATAAAACACTACGTACAGTCAAACAAGTAGCTATCTATCAGCTTGTCATGCATGTAAGGTAATTTACTGTTAACCCTTCCAATTGAAAAGATGTTTAGGTGGGTGGCATTATATAACACTACAAAACCAACACCCCCCACCCCCCAAAAAAAATTCGGAGGATAACACGCTATCGGAAAAGCCATTTTGCAGTCGAAAAGCCTTTTCCAAGGGCAATTACTTTAATTGATGACTTAAGCTATAAGTTCAAAAATTAATTGGGAATTAGGCAACTATCTTGCTTGCTTGTGCTTAGGGCCTTACTAGGGCTCATTGATGAGTTTCTCAAAGACTATGATGCATAATTTGTTTTAGTTGGATACAGTGGCGAAGCTAGAATTTCATGTGTGTTGGGGTCTCTTACAAAATATAAACAATAAAAAATTTGAACTCACAAGACATATCAAAACATCAAAAATCATATTGTGTATTTATAACAATTATTATTGTTCTCAATGAGTTTTCATATTTTGAAATCGTTGCATAACAACCTCGTCATCTATACTATTAAAAATGTCTCTATCAATATATGCAACGAAGCAATCATTCATCTATAAATTGAAAAACCTATTAAAATCAATAAAAAGAAGAAGAAAAAAAAAATCAAAATTTCACGAACTAAAAAATAAAAAAATAAAAAAAATAAAAAATAAAAAAGAGAACTACTAAAAAAACTTCAATTGAATAAATTAACCTAATTAAAACTTGATAATTTAATAAGGAGTTTGAGAGAACAACTCACAGGCAGTGCATTGAGAAAGTCTGCTTTGCTGCTTGTGTATCTCCAAGAAAGGAGAAAAATGGGTTAGGTTTTTATCAATTTTTGTAAAAGGGTAAATATATAATAATAAGAGCTATAAACCTTTGGGAAAAGGAAAGGGGAGTGGCTTAAGCTTGGTGGAAAGGATTTGGCTGCTGGCCCACGTGATAAAATACACATATTAATTAATATAGATTATTCAATAACAGCAAAACATATTACAATTTAAAAGAAAGAAAAAAAAAAAGTTGAGTAGGGCCAGGGACTGCACTGGTCCCTACGTGCCTCCGCCCCTGCTTGGATAGTGTATTCCACTCGTCCTGCCACGTGATAAGGAAGTTCTCACCTAAATCTTTCTCACTTTGTTAAGTCTTCAGGGCTTTTTTTTTTTTTTAATACAAGTTATTATGTAAATTATATTATAATTTACGTAAAAGAAGATTCGAACTTGAGTGTACCGGGGCACATTACCCAAAATGTATCACAAAGTCAAGGTTATATTGCATTAGAAAAAAAAAAAATTTATTATCGCAATTAATAGAACTATTTATAGACAGAATAGATGTTGCTACTCAATCATGCGATGAAGTTGGTGGCACGTGAGGAATTGCTCGTCTCTTGTATTTTCAAACCAAGTTGGTCGCTGCGGTCGGAAACGTGAGACACGATGTGCATATATATCCAAAGCCAAACGAGGAAAAGAGCAAATAATGGTCCTGGAGAGAAGATTCTTTTCCTGAGGGAAAAGAATATTATGAGATGCTCTCCATAAAGACGCTTGTTTTGTTTAGTCTCAGGAATCTGCTCTAATCTTTTTGCTTTTACACTCCATGCATAAAACCCGAGCTTGGATTGATCATTTAAATAGAATCTTAGTCTCGGGTTGTTTTCTCACAACACAAGTAATCTTTCTCTCCCCGCCTAGTCTAATACGGCTGCCAAGCCAATAGGGGCTGCCTCCTACAACAGTGGTCACAACCCATGTAATTTTTCAACTTTAACCCTAAACCCTAAAATTTGTACAACTTCTTTGTGTCAAACTCAAAGGCTGTCCCAATGATTGTGGTTGCAGATCCCATGAAGGAGGCAGAGAATGTTGTAACCAAAACCACTTTAAGACCCCTTTTCTTTTTCTTTTTCTTTTTCTAAATTTCTTTCCCAAATCAACTGATGCATATCTCCAACAACCCTTCCTTGCATTTGCTTTGTAAGTTGAGAAAGATTATTGTTGACCCTTGGCACATACCGAGCCCATCCGTTCAATAAAAACACGACGCGCGGGCCCAACAAATCCCTCTCGACCTCGACCTTTGAGGAAACTCAAGAGGATGCGAATCGTCCACGTCGATCACAAGACCTCCCTGGCCACAGGTCCCTCACACCTCGTAGAATGTACCCACTTCCCCTTTAGTAGAAACATAGAGGTCATTATGAGCAGAGGACGTAGACGAACTCTGACCACCCATCATCTGACAAATCTGATGTGACATAAACGGCCCGACTTCGAGCCAAGGTGACCGGCTTGTAAATTAATTCATTTAGTTCTCCCTACAAATAGAACATAGATTTTTGTAGAAAGGGACGATTGAGAGATCCCTTCAACGCTAAGCGGAATAAAAGAGAAAAGCCTAGTCCCGTCTCTTTGATCCGTATCTTATTCCCATCAAGCTTCTCATCTCCTGGAATCACATATAGAATAATTGTATCTTCATATGTTAGCCACTGGAATATCTGTGGTTGAAACAATTATAATCCTCACCTTTAATTTGAAGAAAAGGGGAAGCACCATATTCAACTTGAGAGGATGGAACTACTTAGAGCCCCTCCAGTGGTGAGCCCAGCCCGAGGCTAGGGGGAAAAAAAAATTGCATTCTAGCGGAGCAGCCCAAGCCCCCGCCGGCAGGGCCGGGGGGGGGGTGGACCCCCCACACCGGGGCTGGCCCGAAGGCAACTTCCGCCCGAGGTCCAAAACGCAGGGGGGTGACATCAGGCTGACGTCGACACGCGGTAATCAAATTTTTTTTTAACGTTGGCACGCGCCAACGGTAAAAAAATTTGAACCAGCGTGCGCTGACATTAGCGCGACGCAAGCCCAATGGCTGGAAGCCACGTGGCACCCCCCAGTGCTCCGATTTGATTCCACAGCCTTCATCCAACGGCTGGCGATTTTCCAGCAATAAAATTATGAAAAAAAAAATCAAAATTTTTTTTAAAAAAATACTAAAAAATTCTAATTTTTTTTTCCTATAAATACCTATAAATACCCTTCACTTTCAACA